GCAAGCCGAGCATAAAGCGAGCGCCCCAATTTTGTCAAGACCCGATGTGAGAATGCTCGCGCTTGATGCCAAGTGCTGGATCCAATGTGGGCTTTCATGAACGGTACAGTTCCGAACGGCCATTGTCCCAATGACTGTGGACAGCACTGACGCACATTGTCAGGCTGGAGAAAGGTTTGATGGATTGACTTGCCCCAAACCATTGTTGCTTGACAGATTCATGCAGCACTTTTGCAAAATGATTACTGCCACTACCGCACCAACTTCAGCATCACAACCGTAGACAGGTGAGCCCTTGTTCACCCGTCAAATCAAATGCTGTCCAGAGCCTGAGAAGCCTCTAGAGCCCAAGTACGGTGCAATCCAGCGTCAAAGATGCACTGGCTCAGCCCTTTAGGAAACCGACTCGACTGCCCGAGGACCACTTATTACGTGGATGGCAAATCGCTGGGCGTGCGGTCTGGCTGTGCAAGTGGCCCAATCGGCGTCATCGGCAATGCCCGCGGCTGCAAGGAGGAAACTGGGCTGTTGAACAAAGTGATCCTGAGTCCTTGCCTTGGTGCGAAAGGGGTGACCTTAGCGGTTTTCCAATGGGGATCACGGCCAATCGAATTGGCCACCCTTCCATCCTCCATCTAGAAGAGCCGAACGAAGTGTTGGTCAACCTGCCGGGCACACAAGCCGCCCCTAGTGGGCAAGCGGGTTCAAAGGAATATTGTTCCCGCATTGACCATTATTGCGTACTTCAATTTATGGAACACATTGGAACACCCACCATACAGGGGAATGACATCGAGCTTCACGCTTCCGGCACTCCAGGCTTGGGGTACAATGTCTGAGCTGGCCATCTATAGCATCGCTGCGGACTCCTTGCAGGTGGAGGCCGGCTGAGCTGTTTGGTGGTGAGTAGTCCGAAGTTGGTTTTGGTGCCAACCCCACGAGGGCGGGGGAGTCGTGTTGTTTGCAGATGGGCAGGATCAGGCATTTTTGCAGGTCTGGGTGGGTGTCTTGGTTTGCGTTGCTTCTTCTCTCCGCATCTCTCCGCACATGATGCCGCACATGTGCAATCATGGTTGGAGCCTGATTTGCAAAGGGTACCGAAATGGACACAGCTTGTACCAAAGCTCAGTTGTTCAGTGGCCCACTTTTTCCATTTTTTTGGTGGCTGCCCCACTAAAATGGTCTTCCCAAAAAGAAGGTTCCCTTTTTTTTCTCCAGGGTCACTGAACAACTGAGAAAGGTATTCCCTGCTGCACTTGTGGTCATTGCTTAGTAACTTAGTAGCACACCTACACTTGCAACCAAACTTGCCCAACTAGTTCGCTTTGCATCCACGATGCATTTTTGCTCATATTCTTGGTGTGGTAACTATTATCAACAGAAACCAAAGGTGTGCTTGCTTTGCGTCAATAGTTTGAACACTAACTTGTGTTCCAATCTTATGTTCCAACGTTTGGAACTAACTTGCAACCGCTTCCAACTACCGAGCTATTCTTGTAGCGGAGCATGGTCTCAAGGTATTTGTCGCCCACTCTGATTGCGTGCAGCAAGCGCCGAAGTTGCTCAAGTGTTGATCTTGGGACGAGAGGGTGCGGGGTGGGGCAATGTTCGTGCAGCAATGAACTTGTTGTTCTTTTTGGTTTGCGGTGGCGGAAAATGTTAAGGCTTTCTCCTGAGACTCCGGCATTTGCCCAACCAGTGAGCTGTGAAGGAATGGATGCCTGCTTGCAAACCAGGAAGTGAACAGCTGAAACGTTTCGTTGATGCTCAGCGTGCCCCAGTGTCATGCCAATGTGGGCCTGCCATGCCTGAGCACAACTTGATTCATCGCCAAGGAACTGGACTGGAGCGTGTTTGCGTGTGCGTGTGACAGGTGGACCTGTCCGACCTGACGTTGCTAGATAACGCTGGGTTTCCAGCAAGTAAGAATTCATTGCATACCCTTTGGCCCCTCGGACCCTTGCATGGAGATGAACTGAGATATTGTCATTTCTGCGGAGGTGGTTTGCCTCCACCCTTTTAGGATCCTAGAAAGGATAGGATGTTGAAGCAGCGAGTTTTTCCATGAGGCTGAAGCAGGGCCTGTTTCGAAGAGCATTTGATCAGTTTTTGCCAAGTACACAATTTCAACACGCGGTTGGGTTGTGAGGTTATTTGCTGTTCGGAGTTCAGTGCTTGTTCTTGGGTCTCAACATCTTATGCAATGCCAGACTTCCAATGTTTGTTGACTCCCAGGTAGATGTAAACCCACTGGTTAATGTCTCCAAAGCGAACTCCCTGGGTTCAAGTCCACCTTGAGGTCAAAACATGGCTCGGGTTAGAAATCACGTCTGCCCAGAACCTGGCGGCGGAATCGCTGAACGAGGAGGACACGTGGCAAGAGCAGGTGGCAGCGTTAAACCGCCACGAAGACTCGGCAACTTGGTAAATAAATTTGGGGGGCAGACAGAAGAAGCACTAGTGCAGCATGTCGTTCCTGGAAAGCATGAGGCCTGAGGCGCTTAATGTGGCTCATGTTGACCAGCTGAACATTGATGATGAAAGATTGGGGGTGTGATATGTGCAGATAAGTTACTTGTTCACCACCGCAGCCGCAGCAGCACCTAATGTTAACACTTGATTAATCAACCGGGCTTCAATAATGGCAAGTGGTTTTTCCTTATTCTGGTTCGCACCTTTTGTTTAGGGGGACCAGAATAATTGAAAGTGGTTGTGCCCGGGGGGAAAATTCAAAAAAAAAACTCCACAAAGCAATTCTAATTAAAAAAACCATCCCCCCTCCCAGAAAATAAACTATCCGTTGCTTTACTCAAAAGCATTCCCCTTTCAATTGGTGGCCCACTTGCTTATATAAAAGCATCCCCTTTCAATTGGTGGCCCACTTGCTTAAAATAATTCCCCTTTCAATTGGTTGCTCAACCACAGAACCCAAAGCCAGCTGAAACCTCTGAAATTTGAAAACCATCCCCAGCCCTGAAACTGCAAACTCTTTATTAAACCGTGTTAAAGAAAAAAGCAAAACAACAATCAGGACAAGGGTACCCCTCACAGACCCCACTGAACCACAATAATGCGATTGTTTTAGGGGACCACAATAGTGGGAAGCCCCCAGCCCCCCCTCCCAGAAAATAAGCTATCAGATGCCTTACTCAAAAGCATTCCCTTTCAATTGGTGGCCCACTTGCTTAAAAGCATCCCCTTTCAATTGGTGGCCCACTTGCTTAAAATAATTCCCCTTTCAATTGGTTGCTCAACCACAGAACCCAAAGCCAGCTGAAACCTCTGAAATTTGAAAACCATCCCCAGCCCTGAAACTGCAAACTCTTTATTAAACCGTGTTAAAACAAACATGCAAAACAACAATCAGGACAAGGGTACCCCTCACAGACCCCACTGAACCACAATAATGTGATTGTTTTAGGGGACCACAATAGTGGGAAGCCCCCAGCCCCCCCTCCCAAAAAATAAACTATCCGTTGCTTTACTCAAAAGCATTCCCCTTTCAATTGGTGGCCCACTTGCTTATATAAAAGCATCCCCTTTCAATTGGTGGCCCACTTGCTTAAAATAATTCCCCTTTCAATTGGTTGCTCAACCACAGAACCCAAAGCCAGCTGAAACCTCTGAAATTTGAAAACCATCCCCAGCCCTGAAACTGCAAACTCTTTATTAAACCGTGTTAAAGAAAAATGCAAAACAACAATCAGGACAAGGGTACCCCTCACAGATCCCACTGAACCACAATAATGTGATTGTTTTAGGGGACCACAATAGTGGCAAGCCCCCAGCCCCCCTCCCAGAAAATAAGCTATCAGTTGCCTTACTCAAAAGCATTCCCCTTTCAATTGGTGGCCCGCTTGCTTAAAAGCATTCCCCTTTCAATTGGTTGCAATACTAAAGTAGTATTCCTAAAAGTATGCTCAGGAAGAAGTGGTTGCAATACTAAAGTAGAATTGCAAAAAGGAAGTGGCTGCAATACTAAAGTAGAATTGCAAAAAGGAAGTGGCTGCAATACTAAAAGTAGAATTGCAAAAAGGAAGTGGTTGCAATACTAAAGTAGAATTGCAAAAGGAAGTGGCTGCAATACTAAAGTAGAATCGCAAAAAGGAAGTGGCTGCAATACTAAAGTAGAATTGCAAAAAGGAAGTGGCTGCAATACTAAAGTAGAATCGCAAAAAGGAAGCGGCTGCAATACTAAAGTAGAATTGGGCCCGAAAATCCTCCATTGTTTGGACGTCCCAAAAGTGCACCCCATTGCTTTGGCGCCTCCATTGTTCAGGGGAGGGGGCCCTTTATTAATCAAGTGCTAACATTACTGCAGCCAACTACCAGGCAGTTCCACACTATTGTTTGACCCGCCTGCGTTCTATGCAGCTGCACTGCCCAATGTAACCCTTCTTGTCCCTAGCTTGGGACGGCATGCTTTGGCGAGGGGGGAGGAATGGGCTCACAGAACAGACAACCCAAGCCCCCAAGTGGGCTGCCCTGCAAAAATGTCCTTGCCTTTCAAGGCGAGGGTGTCGCAGCGCGGGCGGGCGGTTTTTTCAGCCGGTGATTCATGAGGATTCCAGCTCCGGTGGAAGCATAACCAGCAGGAGCAGCTCTGCTTACACCACTTGGGATGATGATTGAGGTGCGGCCCACAGGTGGCCACGCCACCTGATTTGGTCGGTAATGCTTTGCAATGCAAGCTTTTCACGCGGAACTTACGGTGGCAAGGGCTATTTGAACCCATGATCATGCTCAAGTCTGGGTCCTCTTCTCATTGCGCTCCCATTGCGCCCTTGATAGGCTTGCATTTGGGAATCGGCCACACGGTCGCTAGTATTCGCTACTTCTGCCTGCAGTGCTCAAAGTCTCAACGTGCCAAAGCCTGAGAGCTGCGGCAGACCGCCTAGCTGAAAATGCTCGCTGTGGCTTGGCTCGGTGCGCAGAAAAGCCGCAAAAAGAGCAGCATTGGAGGGCCCTGGATGCAGCAGATTTTCCAGCTGACCGGCCAGGGCTTTGTGGACCTGTGCAACTCTGGAGGGAGAGGCTCAGTGGGCTCGGAGTCTGGCTGGGGCCTCAGTGTGGGCCTTTGGAGTTGCATGGGTTGTTGATTTATGCTTGTGCACAAGGGCTGAAAGCTTTGCAGGGTTGCAAACAGTTCGGTGCATTCATTTGTTGAAGGGTTCCACGTGGCAGTGGGGTGTGTGAAGAAAAGAAGCTGGTCATGTCCTCCAGTGTCACCAATCCCCAAGTAATACATGTGGAAGGGTCGCCACACCTAAAACTTAAAGGATTCTTGCCCCACGCATTGTCCCTTCGCAGATGCAAGGAAAACAATATGTAGGGGCGGGGCCGTGTTTTGCCAGTTTCGGGGTGAACCCGTTTAGAAGAACCTGTTGTTAAGCTGTCACCCAGGCCTGTCAAAGTAGCACTCACAGGAAGTTGCACCCACACCGACCATCGCCTGCCAAAATGATAGACAGGTCCCCAGTTCCAACACGTGCCAGCGGTAATGCATTCACGGGAAGCCTGTGATTGGATGGTTGCAACATGTTGCAACGCATGCCAAAATGATACGCAATCCACGCCCTCACGGGAACCCGATTGAAAGTTCACATGCCTGCCAAAATGAAAGGACTGATTACAGCCTTCTGAAAGGAAGTGCGCTCACGCTTGCCAAAATGCTCACACACAGAGTCGCGCGCATTGAATGGGCTGGTCAAAACTGCGGCGGCTCTTCTAACAAGCAAGAGCGAGCCGTGTTTGGCATACCAAACCCGTATGCTCGAGGCACTTCTTTGCATGCTCACGTTGGTGTGCGTTGTTGATGGAGTTCTGCTGCCATGCTTGAAACCAACTGGCTGACGATAGGAGCTTCAGAGACTTAGAATCAACATAAGCCAATTGTATCGTGGTTTACGAGGTGACATGGTGTGACAGTTGGAGATCCGGGCTCCAGAAATCGGCTCCCTGCCATAAGTGGCAGCTGCAGGTCGCAAGCATCGGCGACGAGATCGTTCCAGGCTCAACACGTGTTTCGTTCAGCCGAGCGAACGGCGCCAATGTTTGCTGTCATCTATGAGAATCTATGGTCAGGGGATGACATTGGTTCTTTCATCAAACTATGTGGGTTACTCACCCGAGCACAAAAACAATGGTCCGTGGCTCGTATCCACTGGCCGAAGATGGCAATGTCGAGAGCTGGCCCCAAAGCACCAAGCTGAAGGCCTACACTTTGGAGGGGCAGCAAGCTTGAGCTCAAACAAAATGGGGGAAAGCAGAGATTGGACAGTAGACGGTCCGGCATGTGAACTTTGCGCATTTCTTCATCCGTGGCCGTACATGTTCGACGCCGTGTGGCTTCCAACTGCGTAGTGTTCAGAATGCTGTTCGCGAAGCCCCCTGTCGCAACAACTGGAAGGTTCTGGCTGGTGACTGAGCAGTCTTGTAAAAGAAGCCGCAGTTGTTGCCCTGGCGAGAATCCGGTGTTTGCCTGCGCAGCTGCAGTCATGCTGGCTGCTGCGGAAGGTGCTCCTCAAACAGCGTCGGAAAGTTGCTCGCGCAGTGCTGCAGCTGTACGATGGCGCGTAAGACATGCGATGGCTTAGGGTTGCCTTTCCGAGCCTATCTCGCTGGTGCACATGCGGCAAATTATTCAAGCCCCATAGAAAATCCAAGAAGATGCTTTAATAATGTATCCGCTTCGCACACAACCTTGCAGGCGAGGGGGGGTGTCCATGAGAAAATTGTTGTCCGAAGGCTTGTGAAAGACCAAGTCCTTGCAGCCCAGCTGCGACAAGAGAGCACTGAAAGAAATGAGAGTTTTTCTTTTGTAGCTTATAAATCCGCCACTTGTTTTCCCTGCCAATCGGTTAGAGTGCATTCCCCCGCCTGCAAGCAAGGAGGCGCACGAGCCGCGCCAGGCCCTCAAGCAATCGAAGAGTGACAAACTGCTTGGGGTTCAGAATTGGGCCTAATCATGTTTCGGTCAACTTGTTCACCCGGGCCTAGATTAATTGTTTTTCAATTTGTTCACCCCCAAGCAGAAGCCTGTATAAGTGAGCGCCTTTATTTGGGCAGTGGTTTGCTTTGGAGAGCTTTTCAGCATTTGGTAAACGTTGAACTGTCCTGGATTCCAGGACAGTTGACGGCCTATAATGCAAAGCGTGAATTTGGTGCCAATCCAACCACCAAGCGTTCTGCGTTTTGAATGAACGTCCTGAGGTCCGCAGAAGAAGGCAGGGCTTGTAATTGCGGCAGAGCATGCAGTGCACTTGGACGGAGGAATCGTTTTGCTTTGTGCATTGCAAGGCCGTTCATCCCACGGCAAAAAAAACGAGACTGTCACACTTCCACTGCACTCTCCCTTCTCTCTCTCTCTCTCTCTGTCGGGCAGCGAAGATGCTATACTGTGAAACGCTCCCCCTGGCAATTTCAGACAATTAACTTGTTGATCCACTCGGACCAATTAGACTTCGCAAGTTGCGCCCCTCAAGCCGGTTTTCACTCCACTTGTGTTTTTGATTCGCAGGCGGAGGGAGGCGAAGGCTGGGGCACGTTGTCAAGTGCGAAGGTGGGTCATTGCGCAAGGCAACACCAAACTTCTGCAGAACCATCAAACCCGTCAGGCGAACTGTGAATACTGTGTCGCGAGGAAGGTGTCCCTGGACCCTTTTGCCAAGGGAAGGCACGCCACCTCATGAAGAGGAACGCGCTCCAACTCAGGGAGCAAAGTTCCATGTTAGTTAGCATGGCAAATTACAATCTTGTCTTCCTGGTGTCCCTAAACGACACTGGAACAGATGGGCTGTATCTCCTTTAAAGGTTTGACATGTTCTGTGTTGTTCAGTGGTCGATTCGATCCACCCCTATGAGTACTGCATGCCGCTAATATCCGGCATTGGGCAAAGCATGGGCAAAACCGTTATCTCGCGCCACTACTACGGACCAAACTAGTTAGCTAGTTAATCTGAGTTGAAGGGGATTCCTCAAAACTTGGTCCTCAGGGGTACTGGGTATTCGACCAGGGTTCTAAGCAGCCACTTCGGTCACATATACTAACACATTTAAGAGATAAAGGAATATACACCCCCCTAAAAAAAGGGGTGAGCTGCTTTTGCACGGGTCATGGGTCAGAACTTATGACTGTAACCTGGACCGCTAACATATTCAAGTATCAGGGAACCTAGCATACTTGTCAGCCCCAAGTTGCCGCGTTAATGCTTCTGCATGCGTTTGTGAATGGAAGAGCCACAGAAATGCCATGCATGACACCATTGCTGCAGTGCTAATGTCTTATGGTTGTCATGTGGCTCTGAATGTCAGGGCTGGTTGGATCTCCAGCGTCTTTGAATGTGCCATTGCCATCCAGTAAATGTCTGAGCCAAGGGACTGTATGCACGGTTCACTTGCGGATGGACGCAAGCCAGACTGGCTCCCATGAGGCAATTTATTCCCTGCGTCTCTGTCGCCTCCTCACGTACTATTGCATCAATATCAAACATTGCAAGCTCGCCAACAAGCCGCGACCGAACCGGAAAACGGTAATATTCAATGCATGCTTGATGTGGACGCACTTGCAAGGCAGAGGGTTATGGTTGGCCACAGTCACGGTTGCATGTTTAGCCGTTTTGGTCGCACTGAACATGAAGCTGGCATTTGAGCGGCAGGCATCATCCAGCAACCCGCGGCGGAGCAGCGCTCGGCAGGGCAGCGCTGCTCGGCAGGGCAGCGCTGCTCGGCAGGGCAGCGCTGCTCGGCAGGGCAGCACTGCTCGGCAGAGCAGCCATGCTGACAAGAGCTGCAGCCTTAGATAAATTTCAGAAAGCAGACCGTTGAGATGAGGCAACCAAGACCGAGTAGAACAGCCTGAGCATCGCAGCTTGCCGCGTTTCGCCAGTTTAAGGTTGGTTGAGCAGGACATAAAGATGCCTTGCATAACCTTGCTTGGCACTAGATCTATCCTTTAAGATATGACAGTTGTAGATATGTTTTGGCAAGCCCGCAAACTCAACGAACTGCTTGCTTGGAGCCAGTGCGGTGCTTCAGAGATGATGGGCTAAGAGCGCCTTGCAAAGCCTTCCTAGCCAGTTGCCCAGCGGCCCAGGCTTCGCCGCCTCATGTAACAGCCTTTGACCAAACACAACTCCGAACTGGAAATTTCTCGAACGATGCTTCGGAAGCACGCGTGCTGCTGCTTTAGTGCTGCTTAGAATTTGTGTCCCGCGGGTTTTCTTTCAGACTTTGTGTTCCAACTGTACGGCAGAGCTTTCTATGTGCCTGCAGTTCCTTTCAACATCCTTTCAACTGGTTTGCTACTTCTTGCCATTGCATTCATTTCAAGCTGCCAGTTGCTTGCCTGTTGCCTTTCCAGTTGCTTGGCACGGCCAGGAGCGAAAGTATTGCTTCGCTGGGAGGGCTCACACGCCCAATGACATGACTGGTGATTTGCTACTGTAGTTGGCTGAGGTTGTCCATGTGGGACCCACGTTCATGTTTGGTGAGTTCAGACGGTGAGGCACAGGGCATTCCGCAACAGCCAGCTGTTGTGCCCGCACTTGATGTTGAATTTGAGTGGACACTCACTTCGTCATAACCTTGCAAAACAGTCGCGTATCCGCAACATGCGAGAGGGGACCTGCTTGTTGAGCCAAGGGGGGGCCATTGTCGGAATCTCCAATTACCTACTTCAGGGAGAACTGGCATCAGAGGTTTTACCAAAGGGCATGAGTGCATGTGTCTGAGGTTCGAGCTCAGAAGGCACGGGGCGATGTTGAAGGGCAAATAGATCGGAGTGAGGCCTGGGTATTTTGATTGTGGTGTCGTAATCTGTAGTTAGGTTGGGCAAAGGTATCACAGTGCCTCTCCCCTTGCTTGTTGTGACTGATTGAACTGGTTCTTCAGCTGTCCAGCTGCTTGCTTTTTCATCCCATTTGATCCTGGAGCAACTTGCTTGCACGCGAAGTGGAACGTGTTCATGCGCATGCGCACTGTCTATGCTGGTCTACGTGCTCAAGCACGCGTGTGTTTAAAGGTTTGTTCTCGACTTTCCGCGAGGCTAGCTCATAAGGCACATCAGGCCAAATAAGCGTACTTGCTGGCCCACGCTTCAGGTTGGCTTCTCGAGCCTGTCGGCGCGTCCGGAGCACGTACATCCGTTCGCAGTCACAGCAGATCACTACAAGTTGGTGCCAACAGTGTTGGTCGTTTGCCAATCGTCACAGCCAATGTCACGCGCTCATACATGATCTCACTTACACGCTGTAGATAGTACTCCTCTTTGCCCCACTGTACTCTGCCATGGCAAGCTCGTGGACGGCAGCTTTAGCCTTTATCGAGGCAGCCGGCAAGACTGGCAGCGATGAGGCGGCTTGGCACAGATTCTCAGTTCGCCTGGGTCTTGTTCAGGGTTTAGCCTGCGTGTGAATGTATGCAGCAGCATTGCACACCTTTCGGCATCATTTCCATGTTGCTTGGAATCACTCATCTTGGTTCTGCCAGACTTGCTGGATCGGGTGGCATGTCATGCCAACCATGCTCGGCCTTCAGCTTGAATGTCCACCACGGTTTTCCCATCCACATCAATAAAGTATTCAAAGCGGTGGGCTGTATCATCGGTCTTGTGTAGCTCGATCTTTTGCTGCCCAGCGAAAATCAATAGTAGTAGTAGTAGCAGCAGTAGTAGTAGTAGTAGTAGTAGTAGTAATAGTAGTAGTAGTAGTAGTAGTAGTAGTAGTAGTAGTAGTAGCAGGAGTAGCAGGAGTAGCAGGAGTAGCAGGAGTAGCAGTAGTAGCAGTAGTAGCAGTCGTAGCAGGAGTAGCAGCAGTAAACCACTACTGGGTTGACAAGATTCAATTGCGTGATTAAATTTCATATGTGACTATACCAAGTCAGCCCGCTAGCTCACAGTTTCCGAGAGAAACGGCGATTCGAATTGGATCTAGTTGCAGAGATTGCCACACGTTCCTGGCTGAGCATGCCTTTGAAGAATGAGTGTGTTGTCCGAGTCTTCCACTACTACTACTACTACTACTACTACTACTACTACTACTACTACTACTACTACTACTCCTAATCCTAATCCTAATCCTAATCCTACTCCTACTCCTACTCCTACTCCTGCTCCTGCTCCTGCTCCTGCTCCTGCTCCTCCTACTACTCCTTCCCCTTCCCCTTCCCCTTCCCCTACCCCTACTCCTACTCCTACTCCTACTCCTACTACTCCTACTCCTACTCCTACTGCTGAGTGGTAGTCGCAGCAGCCGTAGCAGCAGTAGGAGCTGTAGTAGTGGTAGTATGTCGTAGTAGTACAGTAGTCGTTGTTGCAGTAGTGGTAGCAGTCGCGGCAGCACCAGTAGCAGTAGTAGCAGTAGTAGCAGTAGTAGCAGTAGTAGCAGTAGTAGCAGTAGTAGCAGTAGTAGCAGTAGTAGTAGCACTGGTAGCCTTGAGGTCCACAAGGCCGGTGAGACATTTTGGAGCTCAGGACCCCGCCTCCATTCCCACGGCGCCGCTGACGCCGCCGTCTTCCAAGCCACTGCTGGTGAAGCTCTCGACGAAGCCCGCAGTGCCGGCGCCTGCGACGCCTTCGGTGGTGCCTGCCGAGCCTTTGACAATCCCTGTGGGGCCGTTCCCCGCGGAACCGCTGGTGGAACGCCTCCCCCGGCCCGCGGCACTGCTATCTGAGTCCCCGCGGAACCGTGGCGTCTCGGTGAGCTTTAGTAGCCCGGCTGCGGTTCAGATGAGGCGCCGCAAGTTTGGCCGCTCTATACCGACGGTAGGCCCAAAATTGCAGGCCAGAATGGGAGTTTGCCCGATCCGAATTTTGGAGCGTTTTGCTTGAGCCCTTGCAATGGGCCACTAACGATCCAGTACTGCATACCCCTCACATACTCGTGCCTGTTACACAATGGGTATAAAGGGTATGTTGCTGGCTGGCCAGGATTGCTTTCTTCTGTCTTGCGAGGGCAACCTGAGGCAAAGTAGGGGGCCAGTTAACGGAATTAACGGCACACGCTTTATGAATTGATTCCTAATTTTGGGGAATCAAGGTTTGGGAGCTTGTTTTGCTTTTCCAAAAGTCAAGCTACACATTTGACATTCCATGCATGTCCTACAACGTCACAAAGCACCTGTTAGATTCGGGGTCCATTTTGCGGGGTTAAGGAAAAAGCTTCCACTGATCGAAGCTCATGCTCCGAAGGCCCCTTTCAATGGGATTCATTAGGGTTGCCATGTGTGCAAAGTTGCTTGGGGGTGCCCGGGTGAGTAGGTCTTTTGGAGTGACAAAGCTGCAGATCATGGATTGCAATCAAGCACAATCAAACAAGCCTGACTTAAAAGTAGGTTTTGGAAGAACAGGGCCACAACAATTGCTCACCTGGCAGTCAGACAGAACACGGGACCTGATTGTGTGAGGGGCACCATGAGACACATGTGGAGTCATGTGCATAAATCGGATCAAGCCCGCCATTGACGCGCGGTCAGGTAGCGAGACAGGCGAGAGCAGAGCTGCAGACTTGCCTGAGAATCAGCCCCAGAAGCGATTGGCAAAGGATGTCTTGAGACCTGAAGCCAAGGCACGGCATGTGAAGCTTGTTTGGCTGTTTTTTGCTGGAGACGACTCATCGCTAGGTTTGGGCAAGAGGCCAAGCAATCCCATCCCGAAACGAATGGGCACTTCGGCCAGGCAATCTGACATGATCTTGATGGAAGGGGTGGGCTTTCCAGACATTCTGGCTAGCCCACGGATATACAGGGATTGGTTCAAGCCCTCGGACGATGCGCGCAATTCAGGGGCGGGGCTCGCCAAAGCTGGAGATCAACATCTCGGCGGTGGAGCAGATGACAGCTTCCCAAGCACAGCTCGACGACCTGAGCCTCGGCCAAGTTGCATCCCCTTTTCCCATTGTCGAGGCAGTTGCCCTGGTAAACACAGAACAATGTCTTCCTTGTATTTAAGCCCCATTTAAGTAAGGCAGTCACCTTAGCAAGGTATGCGTGGCGTGTACTCCATTAAAGGGACTCATGGTGCTGATAGTTCGTCACTTGCCAAGTGGCTTACTTCAGGGCCAAGGGCATGGGGGTGTTTTTTTTGCTCATGACTGTTGATGTGGCAGTGATATTTTTTGGAGGGGTCTGCAACAAAGCCGCGTCGGACATTCGTTACATACCCCGCTACATACCTGTGTAACAAGACCAGCTGGCTCGTTACACACCTGTCGACCGCTCGCTACCTGCCTTCGTTACACGCCTCAACGCCTGGCTGGTTATGCCGGCTATGCCCCTCGTTACATGCCCAAAGCGTACTCTCTCAATGATTTTCCATGGGTGCCTGCAGAGCAGACTTTTGCTTGCAGAGAGCTTGCCATTCAGAAGAAAAGTTGGAACAGGTAGCAGGGAGGGGCCGGAAGAAAGAATCCTCTTTCTGTGCTATACCTCGTTACACACCTCGTTACATAGTCACCCAGCCATTGCATACCTCGTTACAGACCCAGCCCCAGGCCAAACCACCGACTACCGTTTTTTCTTCACTTGGCTTGCGTCAAATAATTGCGACTTGCAAGCTGGAGCTACGGAGCGATTAAATACCAGCGTAGCAAGATTCGTGCCGCGTCGCGCTTTGCATACCCTCAAGACCTCAAGAAACATCCATTAGATTTCATGTTTTGGGATCCGTGGTTACAGGAAAGCTGCTCGAAAAAGGGGAGGGGCAGAAATTAGGATTGTCCTTTTGAAAAGGGTATCATCAGAAAACACGTACCCACATGTGTGCAGTTGCTTTGGGCAAGATTCCCTTGAAGCCAGCCAAAAAAACAAAAGTACCCTCAAAAGCACCCGAGGCAGCGGCAGGCCGAGCTCTTCTGGGCTGGGCCGCTGGGCCGCGACGCCGCCCGGTGCTTGCCGCAGACGCTGCCGGCGCCCACGGAGCCGGGGGAAGGCGACTGGGTCCAGGTGCTGCTGTGGCAGGAGGCCGGGGTTGCCTTCCGTTCCATCAGGGTGTCCTCACCTGAAAGAAAATCGCCCGATTGACCAAAAGGCTTGACCTATGTCTGGCTCCTGGGAAATGAAAGAGGGCATTCAAAAGTTTCAGAGAACCTGCCTTGTGACGAGGTTGGAATTGTTGTCCATTCGGTGCCTGGCAGGCACACCCTGTTGCACGCCAACTGCGCACTTGCCTTCGGCAATGAAGCCCTTCAACAGCTAAGGGTGTCCAACAAAAATTGTGCTTAGCAAGTTTTTGGATACATGCTTTTGAGCCCATCCTCATTAGATGCCGCACTTGTAGGACTAGCACGGTCAGCTAGAATGACAGTGCAAACTATATGAATTAGAGTTTTGAGCGCGCCTCTTTTTTTTCCTTTTCCCTTTTTTTGTGTTGCTCTGGGTTTGCATTTGTCTCTGTCTTCATTTCCTTCTCTTTCTCTTTTTCCCTTTCTCATCTTTCTCTGTATCTTTCCCGTTTCTCTTTCTTCTGTTTTTTTTTTGCTTTGTCTTTGTCTTTCTCCTTTCTCTTTCTTGTCTTCTTCTTTGCTTTCTCTTCTCTTTCTCTTTCTCAACTCGCTTGGTTCACGTCTTTGTCTTTCTCTTTCTCTTTCTCTCTCTGTCTCCCCCTCCCGAAATGTTTAGGATCGACCCAGCGAAAGTCTGCAGGGGGTTGCCCAAGCAAATTGAAATTCGTTCAAGCAAGAAAACTCCGAGACGCCCTCTCTGAGACGCATCCGTTTCGGCGTCCCGACCCAGGTGGTTTGAACGAGGTGGTTTGCGCGCATGCGGCAGGTCCAAATTCGCACACAGGGCCACGTTTTCTCGGCCCGCTTCTATTCCCCTGTTCCTGCGTTTTCCACCTTTTTGTAGCTTTTTCACAGGCAGCACGCCTTGGCTTTCAGATCTCACGCAGGTGCGTGCATTCTTAGAGACGACTAGTTCCATATTTAGTTCCAGCATTGCGGAAGTTCCTTCGACACAGTCTTTGACTCGGAGGCAAGGAGCAGCCGCGGCACTTGAAATGGGACCAGTCAGGTGCAATCATAGAGCAATCATGTGGGAATTGTGGCGCCTCAAAAGCCGTTGCCTTTTCATCACATGCCTCTCAGGAAGAGATTGGCCGCCTCTTGGCAGACAACGCGCGCTTTCGCACGCACCTGAAGTTTCAGGAGACGCAGTCGCCCGAGGAAATGAGGCACAGCCAATGCATTGCAGCTTTGCCGCACACAGTAAGTTGACAGTTAGGAAACCCTTCCAAAACAACAGCAGCCTAGGATGCACTAGTCACTACTTGTTGCCCTGTGCCAATTAGTTGTGTGGTGCGGGCAGGAGATGATCCTTTGATCGGTTCAATCGCGACGAGACATCATAAGAAATTCACGGTTGTGGCATACGCCCAAATGGCATAATGCGTTGGCGGTGGGAACGAGGTGGAACGATATAACTGTTTATGGTGTTTTACCATTTGTCCGTGTCCAGTGCGCACTTTCCCGCGCCACACATGCTAGATGGGTACCACTGTGTGCGGCGTTTGACGCTTGCACACTCGGGAAATGCCTCTGCTCAATGCCGAACGCGAGGGCCAGCTCATCGAGGATCTTCTCTCCGTGCCGCAGCGGTCGTCGTCACCGGAGAGGGATACATCCAGCGCCAGGGGGCTCAGAAGTGGCCGGCGGTCAGTTGGACTTGTTGGTGGCCATGTTGGCAGTGTGAATCCATTCCTTATATAGTGAAGGTCCCCGAACAATGAATATCATTCTTCCAAAATTCCTGGGATTATACACGCACGTCATGGGCTTGGACTTGAGTGGTTAGGCACTGCACTTGAGAGCGCGCAACTTGCAGGCTGGCACGAACCGCCCCATGCCCCATGCCCACACACCTCAGCCCCAAGCACATCCTTCAGTTTCCCAAGTGATGGAACTGGTGAAACGAAATCGCGGGGCGCTTCTGCGCCACTTTTGGCCAGTGCCCAGGTGCCATGGACATTGACCGCGAGGCTTTCCCCATCCCTGCAGTCTCAATTGCGGCGTCAAGGCCGGACCCGTCAGATGCCGAGACAAACCAGAAAGTGAGTTGTGTGCTGTGGCGCATCGAAGTGTGCTGACTGTTGCTTCACGCATTTGTTGTTTGAATGTAGCTTGCTAGCAAAGCAGCGGAAACATATCTCTTCAAATTTAGCACTGCGCATGCCAGTCCAGGCAGAAGAGCCGGAACTTGATTCAACAAGCAAGCCAGCAGTCAATGTAGAAGCGTACGTCCTGGACTTGTTGGCAAATGACATGTGACTTCTGGAGGGTTTTTGATCCCATCCGTTCGCCGTCGAAGCAACAATCATCGGTGGAAGCATTTGGAAAGGGACCTGCTTGAAAGCCTCATGGCGTGTCATTGCATTCATATGTCTATGATCAATAACATGTCCTGGTTTCGCTGGACCGTGTTTTTGAGCTTTGGATGGGATTGACCTGTTACTTTGCTTTTCCGTGCATACTGTCGGAACGGATCCAATGTAGCGGTAGTAGCGTTTTGTTGAGGGCAATTCTCCCGACTCCTGCAGTGCTTCGTTGCTGAGTCGCATGTACTGCGACACTTCCTGTAGTCCCCAGCCAAGACTCTAGTCACACCCATTCCAATTCAATGTGGATCGAGCCCCTGGCCATCATCCCCATCAACTCCAAGCCCCCGAACACCCAAACAGCGCTTCAAGAACAACCTCAGAAACAACCAGCGGGGCTAAACCAGCAGAACCGAAGAACCAAACTCTTCAACCCGTGCGTCAGTTCTTCCGTATGGCAATGCGGTCGCAGGTCCTGCCACGGTGGCCTTCTCCCTGCTCCAGGAGCTGCAGCAGCTGCAACTGCAGGCCCTGCGCCGGCACAAGGCCGCCAAGGCGGTTTGTGGGTGCCAGGGGGTGCCAGGGGGTGCCAGGGGGTGGGGTCAACCCATGACCTCAATACCAGTGGCTTTTTTTTTGCGGATCTCATTGATCCCTGTTGCCTTGAGAGGTTCCACGTGCTTTTTTACTGGGTCACAATGGAAATCTGGAAGGCATTTGGTTTCTGCAACACAGTCTGGGGATAGAAGCACCGGTAGATCCTGATTGCACTGCGTGGCACAGAGTAAACAAATGCAAACAATATCAAACAATATCAAGCACATGCACAAAACATCCTAGATTAAACTTTGAAAGCAACAAGAAACAAGCGCCAACTGTCATTGTGTAAGTTGATTGGAGGTGCCGGAGTCCCTGTGGCTTCCTATTTGTTTATTGGTTTTTCAGGTTATGAAATGATGGGTGAGTTGTGCGGGAGTGGTTGGTGAATCATGCAACGTGAAAACACTTGCCATATTTGCCGAGTCATTCTGGGAAATGACGCACTCATGGGGTAGAATTAATTTTATGACATGAACTTACATGAGACTGGACAAAAAATAATGGGACTCATGCAGTGGTGAATTGATTATTGAGCCCGTCGATGACCGCTGACTAATGCCGCAAATTATTCAGACCGCGACCATTCATGCGATTGTTAGTTGTTTCCACTGGAACTGTTTGGCCACTTGCCATGTTGGGTTGTCCAAAGTCTAAACCACCATGGTCCTTTCTGCGGCACGCAGCGGGTCCGATGAGCTTCCATGATTGTTGTTTGTGGGGCAAAGTGGACAGCCTGTTTGCACAAGCAGCTTTGCTTCGCCCGGGCTTAGAGGTGAGGTTGAAGAAATGCTTAAGGCTTAAGAGCCTTGGGGACCACATTCCTGGCTTTCGGTCAGGCTGAAATTGTCATTGAGTTCGGGGCTGCGCATGGCCAATGGTTTTGACATGCCCAGGAGTGCAGTGCATGTATTCTGTTTCATGGTTCTCCAACTAAGCTGTGATGTTGACAGATGGGAGTCGCAGCGACCGCGTGGACTTCGCGTCTTGCTCCATGATTTGCCGGTGGGCATGGGTATGCGAAATGCGTGCTGTGCGGGACGCACTGGCCACCCCTCCTAAATTCCAGGAGGCGGCAGACGCTTGGCGGCTCCGACGTTTGCTGGCGAAGTGCCATCGCCTGATGCAGGAGCGCAGAGACCAGAGCTCAATGCAAATGCTATCAGACTTTGTCACACATGCTGTGTTCAGTTGGCAGCACGGCTCTCTGGGTCGTACTTCAAGGGGCCGCAACAGGCAGCACTCATGAAACACCCAGCATTGAAGGTGCATGCCCTTCAGCCAATCTAGGAGCAAATGCAGCTTGCGTTTGCGGCCAAGGTATGCAAAGGTTCTTTTTGGGATTTTTCGGCCATGTCAACGACCCAATGCGTGTGGTTTCTGCTAGGAAGGCCTCAAACCTGAAATTGTAGTTTCCTTTGCGACTGCTGATCTTAGGCATGATGGCCAGCATTGGCAGGTCAGGTGCCCCTACTAACGCCAAGGGCCCAAGGGTGTTGCATTTACTGCGCCCAGGAGAAGGCGCGGCTGTCCGTGTCCACTCCTCGGACACCCCGGGCAACGACCAAGCTTCCCCGCCAATTCTCGGAGCCTTGCTTCGACGAGGACTCCCTTTACCGGCGAGGCGTTTGATGGCCCTGTGGGTGCAATGCAGTGTGCCACGTGATGCGGCACCAGGGCTGCACACGGCTGTATTTCTAGCACGTGAGCTGGTCGCCTTCCGGGCAGTTTGGCTGCCGTCCGCGAGGCCTTACGTTGGAAAAATGGGTCGACAGTGAACATGCGCCTCAAAGAGACATGTTCCCTGGCACAGCGCTTCGTGCAGGTTTGCTGGCTGTTCAAAATTTGCCTGGCTTGAGCCACATGCTTGAGCACATGCTTGATAATTACCAAGATCAGGGGCCTCCTCGTTGGCAGCCTGTTGCTTACGATGTCGGCAAAGAGAAGTCGTGCGGCAGTCGCTAAGGTTGCTCTCAAGAATGTTCAGGGTGGAGCTACACGAAAACTCATGTCATGTAGCTTTGCTGCGATGTGCTCCGAGTTCTCGTCTTCTTGTGATATGCATTGGTTGATGAATAATTATTTGTTTGGAAGTGCTTCTGATCTATGACATGCATGTTTAGCATGGTAGAACTGCAGAGAGCTGCAAACAGCTGCACGCTCGCCAATGTTGAACAGAATGGAGACAACCTGTTTAGGACCTGCACCATGGGGTGGCATCAGCAATGCTGTGCAGGCGCCAGCAGCGTCACAGCTGCTGCCTTGGCTTGACGCATTCTGCGCGACTGCAGGTGGAGACAGTTAGGAGACCATGTTCTCATGACCTGCGTTCGCAAGTGTGATCCATGGGCTGATCAGCAGAGATACTCTACCCGGCAGATACATGGCACAAAAAAACGGTTTGTGCCATCAACTTTGGCTCCAATAAGGGTTTTACACTTCGGGCGTCGGGGCCAGATAATTGGGGGTCAAACGGGATGCAAACTAGATGGCACATGTTTCTTAGCGCCCTAAGATGCACAGGTTACCTAATATATGGCACAATGCAGTGCGTCCACTCACGCTCGCTCACTGGCTCGCTCGCTTGCTCGCTTGCTTGCTCGCTCATGCACTCGCCCACTCACTCACTCACTCACTCACTCACTCGCTCGCTCGCTCGCTCGCTCATTCACTCACTCACTCACTCACTCACTCACTCACTCACTCACTCACTCACTCACTCACTCACTCACTCACTCACTCACTCACTCACTCACTCACTCACTCACTCACTCACTCACTCACTCACTCACTCACTCACTCACTCACTCACTCACTCACTCACTCACTCACTCACTCACTCACTCACTCACTCACTCACTCACTCACTCACTCACTCACTCACTCACTCACTCACTCACGTCACTCACGTCACGTCACGTCACGTCACTTCACTTCACTTCACTTCACTTCACTTCACTCCACTCACTCACGTCACTCACTCACGTCACTCACGTCACGTCACTCACTCACTCACCCACCCACCCACCCACCCACCCACTCACTCACGCACTCACTCACTCACTCACTCACTCACTCACTCACTCACTCACTCACTCACGCTCACGTCACTTGCGTCACTCACGTCACTCACGTCACTCACGTCGTTCAGTCACGTCACTCACTCACTCACTCACTCACTCACTCACTCACTCACTCACTCACTCACTCACTCACTCACTCACTCACTCACTCACTCACTCACTCACTCACTCACTCACTCACTCACTCACTCACTCACTCACTCACTCACTCACTCACTCACTCACTCACTCACTCACTCACTCACTCACTCACTCACTCACTCACTCACTCACTCACTCACTCACTCACTCACTCACTCACTCACTCACTCACTCACTCACTCACTCACTCACTCACTCACACGCACACGCACTCGCACTCACACTCACACTCACGCACACGCACTCGCACTCGCACCCGCGATGGCACTCGCACTCGCACTCGCGCTCGCACTCGCACTCTCACTCTCACTCTCACTCACTCACTCACTCACTCACTCACTCACTCACTCACTCACTCACTCACTCACTCACTCACTCACTCACTCACTCACTCACTCACTCACTCACTCACTCACTCACTCACTCACTCACTCACTCACTCACTCACTCACTCACTCACTCACTCACTCACTCACTCACTCACTCACTCACTCACTCACTCACTCACTCACTCACTCACTCACTCACTCACTCACTCAAGGCAGCCTCCAGCAGCGGGGGAAGTCCAGCCAGGCAGGCTGATTTTGAGGCAAGGGAAGTTTCCCACGTTGAGGCAGGCCCCAGAAGCCTGACATATGGAATTGTGCCATCAACTTTTCTTGATTTGTCGGGGGCGGTGCCTCCACAAGGCAGCCCCCAGCAGCGGGGGAAGTCCAGCCAGGCAGGCTGATTTTCAGGCAAGGCAAGTTTCCCAGGCAGCGGAGTTGAGGAAGTCCAGTTAACTTGTCGCAGAAACGCCCTGATCTTGCAGCTCTCAAGGTCCCAGGGAGCCCGAGGGAGGGGGGGAGAACAAACTGTGTGCGATTCTTAAGCAAGAGTGGAGTTTGGTTCAGCAATACCTCCTATGACTATACACAGACGCAACCAACACGTCAGCTTCCTATCAGTAGGTGTCTCATAATCAAAAAAGTTTGGGATGAACTGAGCCAGTACCTCCCACCCACCCCTCCACTCCACTCCACTCCACTCCACTCCACTCCACTCCACTCCACTCCACTCCACTCCACTCCACTCCACTCCACTCCACTCCACTCCACTCCACTCCACTCCATCTCCACCCCACCCCACCCCACCCCACCCCGCCCCGCCCCGCCCCGCCCCGCCCCGCCCCGCCCCACCCCACAGCTGATAAATGGCACAATTCGCCGGATGATTGAAGAATTGTGCCAACAGAACGGTGGACTTTTTTTTGCTTTCGTGCCATCTACCAAAAATACACGTCGGAATTGTGCCATCTATTTGCCGGGTAGTGTAATTTGTTTTCGTTTCCAGTTGAACTCAGTTCAATCGCTGTAGATGCATGTTAAGACCTGTCAAGGATATCACACAACCAAACAGGCAGTCGCAGACTCACTCAAATGGGAAAAGCTTAGCCAGCCTGCCTCGCTTGCGCTGCTGGCTGATTCTTGGAGTTAGGTTTCAACAGTTCCTTGCACGCTTGGACAGAAGTGCCGCATGAAGTGTGACAGAGGAAGTCTGCAGCTTTGCCGTGACAATGCGAATGCCCGTTCTGTTAACACTTGGGGATATTTGGGGATTCGTCCAGAGGACCCTACTGGTCAGAGCAACCCGCCAACATTGATCATTTTCCTACTAAAGGGACCAGGCAGCTCAAATTCAGTCCCGGGAGCTCTAGTTCTGCTCCGTCCGGGAACTCAAATCAAAGCTTTTCCGTTTTTGCGGCCGCCGCCCGGCTGTTGAGTTTATTTTTGAGAAGGTCACGAAATCTAATTTTTCTGCACTTTTCGTGCTACCGGAGCCTTGGCCTTTCTGGGGGTGGCTTCTTGAGACTTTTGGGGGGCGCGGTTGGTCCAACCTGGTTGAGCCTGCCAGTAGTCATCCATTTCCGAGCTTTTGCTGGTCGGCTCCCCACCCCTGATTAGTCCTTGAGAATATCCGAAGTTAACATTATGTGCTTGCTCTTACCGCCCCGCCCCCTTTTGTAGGGTTTGGCATGTCGACTTTTGAGACAGCCCATGTTCACCTTTGCGCACATGCGCCTGTGCTCCCGTGCTGATGGGCCCCAGGTCATGAACCCTGAGCAAAGCGCACGCCTGGCCGAAGCCAAGCGAGCGGAGGCGGAGGCTCAGGCGTGGTCGGATTTATTGTTTTTTGGCGCGATATGCATGGGTTTTGAGACCTAGTTCAGAACTTTCTCAGATTTTCAGACCTTCTTTAGACCTTTCAAACCTTTTCAGACAGACAATGTTCATTAGGGCGAGGGCCACGGCATGCTTTGGGCCCGCGAGGGACAAACTGCTCTGCCAGGCAGAGCAACGCATGGCTGCAGAAGCCCTGGTCAGCATTGCTTGATCGTGAGATCGTTTGCCTGGAGCGCATGCCGCACTTGGTTCTTCGCATTTTGCAGCCTTCAAGCTGGGACGAGGGAGGTGAAATTCGCATGGATAGCAATGTAGGTCCGTCGCAGCTTTCGGAGAATCCAAGCTGTGGGCTTGGGGGAAGTTCGGTGCTCCAAGGACAGGGCCTTGCGAGAAAAGCGGGAGGCTTTGGAGTCCGAGCTGCAGGAGCGTCGGCTCTCGCAAGTGCTTGCTCCGGGCCTGTTTTTTATTCTTTCCGTCGTATGGTGCGAGCTTGGGCGCAGTTGGGTGCAATGCTATGACACCTCAGATTGCCAATCTCTCAGCATTTGTTTCTACAATTGCGAGAAATGTTTGATTTTGAGGGACATTGCGCAAAGAAAACGCGAAAAGCCATGGACGTGTTGTAGGGCTTTGCACAGCTAACAGCCGTGTAAGCGGCTGCCTGCTGGCCAGGCAAAGCTCACGGCTGAGCGGAGCCAGCACATGGCTGAGGCGAGCTGTGGATCCCAAAGGACTGCCCTAATGGGGCTGTTCAACATCAATCCTTCATTTGTGCTGGAGTGTTGCTTTGGATTGTATTGGTGGCCGCCACGGGTTGCAGATTAGGATCAAGGACCTCCCATGGTCATCTCTGTGGACAATCCAGAACAGAGTCCTTCGACAACGGGGGATTCTACACACATGATGCGCCATAAGTACGGCAATTGTGAGTGGACAATGCGCTCCTGTGCGACCGTGTGACACTGGCACGTGCGGCATTGAGTGATAATAGATACTCAGTCACTCAGTCTTGTTTGGTTGGACGGTGTATCGAAGTTGCCATTTTGAGTTCAAATGTGCTGTCATGAAAGTGCTGTGAATGGCGTGCCACGGAGGCGGTGAAGGTCGTTGCTGCCGTCGAAGCAGAAGTCCCTTGGCAGCAGGAAAAGAGAACGAAGCGCCCACAATCCTTCCAGATTTGCGCAACATATGCGCACTGCCAAACTTGACTGGCATTTCTCTTCGCCCCAAATGCGAGCGAGCTGCTTGATGTTAGCATGGTTTGCTGCAGCTGTCAAGGCTAGTCCTTGTACAGCATTCGATTTCTGACTTGCAGTCGTTTCATTCGAGTCTTTGCCCGCGCGTGCACTTTGTACCGCGTTGGGCGGGTCTTCAGGGTGCAACTTGCACCCTGAGGGCTACCTCCCTGTGATGTCTATGGACCACAGATAGCCAATGATTCCAAATGTGGAGACACCACCTGTGAAAGTAGCCTGCATTTCTGTTGGGAGTGTGTTGGTGGCTTGGTTTGTTTTTGATTTTATGCCGTGTTGGGATGCATTTGGGATGCTAGTGTATCAGACTCGCACATTGCTGTGCTCTAGTGCTGTGTTCTTTGCTGCCAATCCTCTCTCGCTGTGGAATGAGTTTGACTACAAGCCAATGCGTTCTGATGTTTCATCAACGCCTCGTTCCCTTCAGGGGTCATGGACCTTACCTTGGGCACCGCAGCTGCCATGAGGCCCGACGTGAGGAGGAAGTTCGATTGAAGGAGGCCGGAGTAGATTGTGGCATCTTCACAACCAGCAAAAGCCGGCACAGGTTCCCCTATTATCAGCACATGAGGGCACAAAGCTCCGTCCCACGCGCGTATTGCTTATGATGCAACCTTCTGCAACATTGGGGTTTCAATAGGTTTTGTTTGAATATTGAATTGTATTGCTTCAGGTCGACATTGCGTGACAGCAGGGGTCCGAGGTAAAGGCCCAGTTTCTGGTGTGGCTGTGTGTTCTATGGGATCCTGACTGGATCCTTTGATTGCCCTTAAGACGGTCTCAACAACTCAGCCCATCTCTTGCAATGCACAAGTGCCAGCGCTTAGCAGCACACTCGTTTAGGCTACTTGGCCACATTCGCATCAGCGCTCGATAGGGCTTCCATGCAAGGCTAAGAGCAACCGCGCAATGGCGGACAATTCGTCATCAGATCCAGGATGTTTTGGACTGGAATGTACCCCCGCTTGGACACGTCAATCTCAGTTGCCCAAAGACGACCTTTGACCTTTAGGTTTCTTGTGTTTGGTCCAAAAAAACATCATGGCCCAAGAAAGTTAACGGTTCATGTCTGGCTTCTTTAGTCTTTGGGCAACTGAGCAATGTGAGTTGTCCATCAAGTTTCGCATGTTCAACTTGCTCCCCAGCAAGTTCACGCTCAGGATGTAAACCGGGATGTAGGTTGTAAACCGGGATGTAGGTGACTCCCTCCCGTTGCTCAGGCCGTGCGGGCAGCTCGGGAGACTCGTGAAGCAAAGGCCCCGCGCAGGGCTGGCACCTCCCAATGCGAAGGGCGTGCAAAACCTCAGAAATACGGATGTCAGCTGCAGCAGTTGCTTCATGTTGGGCATGATCCCAGAACACAGGAAGACACTCACATCAACAATCCACGCAAATGTGTGGCCATGTGATTTGCAAGCTTCAGGTTGTCCAAAGAGCAAGTATTGCACAAGACTGTATCTTGTAAAGTTAGCCCTTGTACAGGGGTCACCTACTTTCGCCAGCATGATTTTGTTGGAGATGCCTTACAGCTTCCAGGTGGCTGCCGCGAAGAAGGAGGCTCACGAAGCAGCGGAGGAGGTTGGATGCGGTTCGTCGCCTGATCCTTGTACTCCTGGATGCTTGGCATGCGGTCCACATGTGCGACAGTGTGGGCCTCGAGTTGCAGCATGAGTGAGCTTTGGTGAGCTTGTTGGTACCCGGGCATGCATGGTGCTGGAGGTATTAGCTTGAAGCTTGATGCCTTTCGGTGAATGCATGTTTGAAGAGATGATGCTACGTAGAGCTTCGGAAAGGGGTATTATAGCTTGACGATGCTGGTGAAAAAAATGTTGCCCGGTCAGCTGGAGAAATGCATTTGGTATGCTGGTAACGCCATTGGAACATTGATCCAATCCAAACATGCAAACATTGCAAAGATGTCGCACAGCACAATGAGGTGCATGGCATGCCCACAGTTCTAGTCCACTTATCGCAAAATGCAAGCGGAGCTTGTTTCATGACGTGCCTCTCTGATTGCATCCTTTGTGCCACATGAAATGACGTGCTTTCTCGCAAGCGGAGACGGGCCTCACGGTGCTTTGCCATCCTTCCATTTTTTTTCAAAAATCAATGTTGAAATGGTCGGGATCCTCTTGAAAGTTTCTGGTTTTCCTAAAAGGGTGGCTTTGGGTCTATTTTCATGTTCAGGAGGGAGCTTTTTGGCAAGATTTTCCAGATTGGCAGGTTGTGCAGCAGCTGGAGGAAAGCGAGTTGGCACAGGCCTGCGCCCACACTGCCATTGACCATTTTAGTAGGTGTTGCTAAGGCCCTGGCTTGGCAGGGATATACGTAAGGCCTGTATGGTGTGAACTTTAAGTGTGTTGTTTTTTTTGTTTTTTTTGGTCTTTGTTGAGGGTACTTGTTGTGTTTGGGCTGGTTTTCATGGGGCGCCCAAAGGAAAACCACAAATTTGAGCCAAACCAAAACAAACCTCCATGACAATCATTTGTGTACAAAGTCATCGGTTTTTGGTCGACGGATGGCCAGGTGCGCTCTTTGCTGGCGCCCCTAGAGGAGGAATTGGCTTCCGCCAAAGCCTGCCTGACATCGTTAGCCTTGTGACCGCCCAGTATCAGAGATTTCGCTGCCCCCCAGCTGCCCCACAAAGGCAAAATCGGGTTACAACCACTGGACTACATGAAGGGTCGACACTCTTACTGTTTTGGGGAATGACTTGGGCGGCAGTGGAAGGCATTTTGGGCAGACACCTTGTCGCGGACCGGAATTTGGTGTAGAGCCGTTCGGGCTTCAGCCTCAACGGGCTTTGCCAGGCACTAGAGGCATGTTTGCAAAGTAGTTTTAGCTTCGGACTGCAAACATAGGCGATATAGGCGGTTACCCTTCAGGCCACACTTCGCTCGCTCATGGTCGCCGGTTATGACTAGAGCGCGGCGTCGCTTGATCAGGGACACTTCGGTGGAGGAAATCCGAGCGCATCGAGCGCAGGGCCAAGACCATGCTGCCGCTCAGGATGAGCTTCCATGCCCTGACTTTGGAGAACAGCCTGATTGGAAAGATTGCCCAGACAACCCGGCCCCGGCTTCGCAGAGCGCGCAGACAGCAACGCAGGGTGCAACACAGAGTGCAGCGCAGAGTGCGTTCTTGACTGAGCCAGAGCTGTCTTGGGATGATACGGTCAACAGTAGCTCGTGGCTGGGGATGGCTTCGCACTTGGAATCCAGCCTGTTGGAGCGCAACACGCTGATTGAGGATTTGAAAAAGGTTCTGGAAGTGGCTACGCGAGAGCAAAGTGATTGGCGGAGACACTTTTTTAAGTTGGCAACCTTTGCACACCTCTCTTTTTTTTTGTGGGTTGTGGGGCATTGTGGGGATCCCTGAGTCGAGCGTGCAAACAACTGATATATTTGGGCGTGTCTTTTTTTAAACAGGGACTTCCCCAAATGGATTATGGTTTTCCGCTTGGGTTCCCTTTAAAGCACAAAAAGCGGGTGCCCTCAAACAAAAAGACGAGCCACTCATTTGTTCTCTGGTGCCGGTCAGGGCAAGTGAAAGCCATGCGCCGGTGTCGAGCTCCGGGTGAGCCGAACCACTGGCACGACTCGGTGAACTCTGCGCTGACCTGGCGGGCGAGGGAGGTGGGTGCGTCCTTTTCTGGAGTTGGTACCCCCTTTTTGTGGCAAAGGGAAACCAAAAGGAAACCAAGCATTTTTGTTGCCGGGGGGGGCTGGGGTTCAATGAGATCCCCTAAAAAAGACCCCCGCCCCCTTTAGTTTCCCATTGAACCAAACCCAAAAATGGTGACTTCCAGAAAAACAACCTGCAGGGGCTGGGTGGCTGATTCCTTGTTAAGGGTGCCCTGTGCCGGTACCCCGAGACACATTGATCCGCATTGATCCAGGTTGAGGCCCTGCAGAAGGAGATTTCGCACCTGGAGCTGAAGCAAAGGGCAGAGCTCCGAGAGATATGTCAGCTGCAAGCTCGCCAGTCAAGGCGCGAGTTGCGAGGCTTTCCACTGTAGCATAGAGTTTGTCAAGTCGCAAGCTTGACGTCATGTATGCGCGTAGTTCTTTCAAGTGCCCGCCTGCTCAAACAGTTTTAAAGGCTTGACAAGTTCATGAAGGGTCCTGTCAAGGCTGAAGCTTGTGAGCAACGGTCAATATTTGCTGTCATCTTTGGGCGAGGGGCACATTGGGCCACATCTACCGCAGATACGATTCGAAAAAGGGGGGCTTCACAGAAACATTATCGCATCAGTGGGGGTTGCCAGGCATGCTGACCATGGCTCTTGTCAAGTATCCGGGGGTGGTGGTCTTTCATGTTCTCCAGGGTGGCTTTTGGCCTGGCAGGAGCACTCGGGGCAGCTGGTGCAGCCGAAGTACCATGCGTGGTGGCTTTTCCTGCAGTCGTCACCAGTCCTGGCAGTCTGGCTCTTCAACTGCCAGATCTGCGGTTCGACCCACCAGGCTGTTGGGCTGTTTTGCCTCACATTTTGTGGGCCAACGTCTAGCGCCAAACAAAGGGAGGGCATTTTACGTCAGGTACGCGCCGCAGGCAGGGGGCGACCTGCACGTCATCCTGGAGCCCACGCTGGGCCGGTTGGCTCGCCGGAAGCGTCCGCCAGAGCTGAGGCGCTTCGGCGGGCTTTGCGCTTCAGCTCGCCACGGGAACCTGGCGGTGCATTTGTGGGGCTGGGAGCCGGGGGACCACTGCTTTCGAGACGAAGCTGGCGCCTCGGCCTCCTTCACCCTGCCGGACGTTCCGACCCTGGGAGACCGCGAAGCAATCATCGAGGCGCAGCTGCTTCACGAAGTGATGAACAGTTGAGAGAAGTCGGCCTTGGAACAGGGCCGTCAAGCCGAGACCACCGCGCCAAGTCGATACGTTGCCGCAACTTTTCCGCACCGCCGAAGGAGGGCACCACAGTCGAAGGCGTGTCGCGGGCACACTTGCGTCTGTCAATAGGATGGAGCTGCTTGAAAACAGACATGTGAGCAGCTTGGTCCGGGTGAGCTTGCCGGCTTGCAGCTAAGATAGGGGTTATAGATTGAGTGACAAGGCCAGTTGCACCTTTTTCTGGCATTCAACGGCGGGACACAGGCACTGTGTGAAGGGCACAGGCCCACGTTTGGGCGCGGGCATGCGTGTGATTGTGTTTGCATGCGTGCTTATGTCGAGGCTAGCCTTGCCGCCGTTGTTGCAAAGTAAACCAAGCAAAAAAGAATCAACAAAACACCCATGCAGTGGTCTGTTGGTTTGTGTGTTCTGTGAGTTTGTTGGTTGGTCTGTTGATTTGTTTGCTTTTGGTTAGTTGGTTTGTTGGTTTGTTGGTTTGTTGGTGTGTTGGTTGGTTGGGGGTCCCCCGTTTTCAGATCGAGACTTTTTGCAGATGGCCAGGAACGCGTGGAGCAAGCACAGAAGGCCCTGGAGCAGGTGCCACCGCCCATGCAACTGGGAGAATCGGCCTGGGTTTCAAGTGAACATCTTGGAGCGGCTCAAAGTTGGTTATATGGGTGGGTTTTAGCCTCACCTATAGGTCCTATTTGGGGGCAGTACGGCAAATATTATATTAGATGTGTTGCTGAGGCTTTGCCAGTGATGTTTGCATTAGTTCAATTTGCTGCACTCAATGAGTCATTTGTATGCAACGTGTTTGAGGTGTTGTTGGTGGACACAAGCTTCCACCGAAGTGGTGTCCACCAAAGGCTCTAGAGCCGAGCGGTGAGATTCACACCCATCAAACCATTTGATGGATGGTGACACGTGAGAGAAGGTCAGAAATGCTGCATTTCTGCTGCTCAAGGGCCTGGGGGCATTCGGCAAGTCATCTAAGGCCATGCCCCAGAGAAGCACCTGGCAATTGCAACGCAACAAGCAAACATAGACAGGCAAACTTGGCAACATCTGCAGTTAGGCAAACGTGGCAAGCTGCGCTCCAATTCAGCCATGTCCGAAATGGAGTCGATGCTGTGGCCCGTGCTTGGTTCGGCGGCTGCCTTTCAGGCGCATGGAAGACTAGGTCCATGATGTTTTCGGTGTGTCCAAGCGTAGCTGCTTGTGGAGTTTGTTTTTCTCCCATGGTTCAAAGGTGCTTCACTCAAGCGGGCCTATGAGCAAGAGAGTCGCCCAAAGTCCCAGATGGAACTGGCACAAAGTGACTTAGGTGCGATGGCTCAAGCCAATCGTTCTTTCGAGATGAAGTGGTTTGGAGAGACCTCGCACAGAGCCAGCTGGTTATCGGATTCAGGCCACCTTCTGGATCTCCATGAGCGTGGCTCCATTGTGCTTTTCGCCGCTCGTTTGCAAACTAGGCAGCTGCATGTGATTTTGTGCCAGGTGGCATCCCACAACATGGCCTGAGAAATCGCAGTAGGGCATTGCAAACAACACCACCCACCACCACCAAACACAACAACCACCACCGCAGCAACAGCGGCAGAATCAGCAGCAACAACAGCAGC